GCGGGCGCCCTTCAGGCGACTGAGGGCCGGGGTGGGATTTCGGCTGTCCCTCGCCGTGACCCCTCCGCTGCCCGCACCCACCACCGTGCGGGGGCAAAGCGAGCCATAGCAGGTTCTCACGCCGTGCCCCGTCGCCGCCCGGCCTCCAGCCGGCGCTGCCTGCCGGCCTGGCGGTGCGTCGAGCGCTGAGCGGATGCCCGACTTCTATTCGTAACGCACGGACCACGCCGGCACCGTTTGGTTTGCCGGTTTGTCTCAGAGACGCGGCTGATAAACGGGTGTCTGTCGGCACTAACTGGCGGACAGCCTGCCAAAACGGTACGATAAGGTCCCACGTATGTCCTGTTTGACAGCACAGAGTGAACAAACAACGCGAAGGACGTCGGTTCCACTACAGCGAGGAGCTGCTGCAGTCGTGGTGCACGTGGAAATGCAGCAAGTTCATGGAATTTGCTCCTGGCCATCCACTGTCCCGCAGGATCCAGCAAACAGTCATTAGCAGTGTCACAGAGAAGTTTCTGTTTGTTTCGAGCATGCAATAAGTACTCACACCTCTTATGTAGCCAAGACACCATTACAGTGCAATGCTTTGCTGATAACCCAGGCACAAATCGGTCAGGAAGCCTTGAAAACTGAGTGTTTTTACTTGTACCTCTTCAGGGAAGGGCTGCAGTCCTGGAGAACTCAGCTTCACAGCTTAATGTTCTTAAATCAGATCCCAGAAAGACACCTAATAAAAGCACCTGTTGACACTGGGAGTAAATACAAAACAAAAAACATAACATGTAATGAAAACAATTAAAATATCTTTTGAGATGCATGCGATGGAGTTAATCAGTTCTTGAATTAGATAGGAGCTAGAGGGATTCCCTTTCTTGAGTGACACATTGACTTTATGGATCAGGATCCTGAAGTAATGACTGAAAGTCCCAGAGCTGCTTTCAAAGCATTCAGATTTTTTTGATTAAAGCATTTCTGAAGTGGCAAAAAAGGACTGCAAATCTTAATGAAGCCACATGTGAGTGGCTTGTCCTGCATGAAGGACAAGGATAAGGCTCAGTACAGTGGCAGTGGATGTTGCAACTGCTCAACAGCATGAAGCCAGGGCATGCAGCAGTTTAGGATAATGTTGTACACAGCTAAATCCGAAGGAACAGTTCAGAGATGCTAAGAAATTGTCTGATGGAGCTCAAACAGGACCCTAGGGTTATTGTATTTGCACCCTTAGAAAAGTTCAATGTGTAATAACAAATCTCAGTACTTAAGCCTCACTTCTGTTTTAATCCAGCCTATGACAGGAGAGTATCGCCTAACACTTTTCCCAAATACTGAATCAAGAAGTGTTGCTTGCCAAGTCCCCGGTACTACTAGCACCCCTGGATGGTCTTGTTCTTTATTCCACCTTGACCAAAACAACCAAAGTTTGGTCAGTCTGTAAAGCATGTCCCAAGAAGAATCACGTCTTAGGTACTGGTGACAAGAAGGGCACAGTTCTTCTGGGTCTGAGCACAGCTATCTGGCTGTGTACCTGCCTGGACTCCAATAGGATTCAATCATCCGTAGCTTACTTCCTTAACTTCCCTTTGGTAGAGAGCGATCTAATACTCTTATAGGACAAATGAGGAAGTGAAACAGGCATTGTTTGCTCGCCTAAAGTCTAATGCAAAGCAAACTGAACTTTTATCCAGATCACTAAAAACAAAATTCCCTGTGTTCCAGCAGAGTAGCCTTGCTCCAACCAGGCTATGAAGCAGCTTCTGTGGGTAGCCACCAAGGCCTAGGTTCCCAGAAGGACCCAGTAAGCAGCTGCCTTATTGATCCTGGGGGAGGAACTGTGAGGCAGTACCCCCCCAGGAAACAGAAAGCACACAAGTGACAATGTTGCACCAAAAAGATGTGAAGGTTCAGAGTACCTTCTACAGTGAGCTCCTCCAGGAAATACAAAGGTCACCTTCAGCCTGCAGTCCCATCATCCAGTGTCACCCAACAGTTTTCTGGCACCTCTTGCCAGAACAGGAGAGCAGCCATGACCTCAAGCAGCTTTCCCCTATCGATATGCATCCCACTCTCATTTAGCAGGCTTCGTTTGCTGTTGGCTCAAACCTATCAGACATAAGGCTCACCAAGATCATCACGTCTCCAGTCTGACTACTGGAGATGGAATTGTCCCTTGGCACAGATAAAGCTGACTAAGGTGCCCTAAGGTGCACCATCAGTAAGGCCTTTTTGTGTGTGGAACTTGACTGGTTTTTACACCCTTCATAGGATGCCATTCTTCTGTTAGTACCGTCTTTGTGCTCATCTCATACAGCCTGAGGTACAATCCCGTACAGTCATACTCACTGCACATGAATTCAGTAAAGTTTGAATCAACCTGAGCTGAAACATACAAAAGCACTCCCATTGGCTTCAAGTAACATTTTTTTTTCTTCTATAATCAGCAGAGTATTTGTCTCAAACTGATTCCCAGCAGATGCCCACAGATTTTAGACCTTTCCTTTTAGAATAAAACATAGCACGAATAAAACGCTGTACAAAAGAGCAACCGATCTTCAAAACCTGTTTACAGAAGCAGGTACATGCTGTGAAGTCTGTAGATATGGCAACACGGAGAGGATGAATGCTGTGCCCAAGCTAATCAGTAAAGCCAGGTGTCCCTCGAGCTCGGCTTCCCCATAAGGCAGCATCTGGAGCAGAGCCGACCCTTCTGAGAAGAGCCCAGACTTGCTAACCTGTGTGCCTCAGAATAAAAAATATTTGCACGGACCGTTCTGAGTGAGTTGTGTTTTTGTTTTTGTTTTTGTTTTTGTTTTTTTTTTTTTAAATGTAAATAACTCTTTTCAAAGTTATTTTTACAAAGCAGACCCCGCTGCTACCTCGCAGCACAAGTTCAGCGCCTACTGCTCATTTTCAAACCGTGTAGGACCGCAAGGACTTGGGAAGGACAAAACGAGCATCCAAATGGAGGACGTGGTTTGTGTTAGCTCTGAAACCTGTACCTGCCGGAGCTCTCGCACAAGATAATCGTTTCTTGCCTGATCGTTCTGTGCCCACGTCTGCCACCACGAGAGGTTGAATGAGCTGTCTTTGTGTCACTACAATGGTATTGTAATCAGCGTGGCACTCACACGTGACTTGGATTACTGTTATTCCTAAACCAAGTAGCATTCTTTCAGCACTGTTTGCTTAAGAGTATACAAAATGCAATTCCCTTTTGGCCAAAGACTTTAATGAGGGATTTTCCAGCGTCTGGGGAAGCGTGTGGCTTTTTACTGGAACAGGAGATTTAAATTGAATCTGAGCAATGCCCGTGACACGAAATCCTGCCTTATCTTCACAAGAGTTAGATTCAGTTTCGAATCCTGCCGGTCGGGGACACGTTTGTACTCTGGAGCCTGAGCCACCTCACGAGCTCTCTAACAGCAGCCACCGCGATGTGTCGCGACGCGCGGCTCTGCCGGTGTCACCGTCCCTTTCTCGAGCACCTACACTCCCCCGTTCCTCCCTCGGAGGAAGGAGCCCAGCATCTCGCTCGGCGCACTTCCTTTTCGCAGCACTGTCCCGGGGCAGGCAGCGGGACGGCGGCTCTGGGGGGACAGGGCAGAGCCCGAGACCATCCGGCTCTCGCCGCTAGCGTTGCCCGCCGGGCAGGTGCGCCGAGGCGGCGGCTCCGGGCTCGCCCAGCGGGCGGCTCGCGGCCACGGGGGTCGAGACGGCCCGGTGGGGCCGCGAGGAGAACGGCGCAGCGAGGGGCGAGCAGCTTCCCCGCACGGGCAGGGGAGCAGGGGAGGCAGCACCTCGACCGTGCTCGAGAAAGGTTCCCTCGTCCCCTCGCGTACCCGTCCGGGGCTGTGTAGAAAGGCAGAGTCGAGAGCGCAGCCTCACCCGACCTCTGAAACGCTTCGCTCGCGGCGAGATGCGAGTGAAACGTCCGGCGCGCGCCAGCCGGCCCCCCGCCCGAGGCGATCTGCGGGGCTCGGCCGGCGTCGGGCCGCAACCGCCGGGGGCATTTCCCTCGGAGCGCTGAGCCGCGCCGCGGCAACGCGGGGGAGGAAGCGGGACGGCTGGTGCGGGCGGCAGCACCTCTGCGAGGGCACGGCTCCGCGCGGACGGAGCGAGGTGCAAAGGTGATAAAGGCCGGGGGGAAAAGGTCTGAGCGCTGCTCAGCGCTGCTAGAGACCCCGACCGTGCAAATATTTGCATCCCGGATTAGCTGTGGAGCGGTGAAATCGGGGAGGTCACGTCCACAGAGATCCGTGGACTGAGGACCCGCACGCGTGCCGCCCCCGCGGGCTTGCGCCAAAGCGAGCCTCTCCCTTCGGAACGGGGCGCAGAAAGGGCTCTCTCGCCCCCGTGATCCAAAGCCCTTCAGCCTGCTATTTATCTGAATTGGCCAAGTACATAAGTACATTTTATTAGATGAAAAATGCACGCGCGTTGACTCATAAATATTATCGACGCCGGATTTGTCACCTCCGTACTTGTGTAAAGAAGGCTGACATTCATTGCAGTCGGTCGGTATAACTCGCGTTGTCCAAATATGGATTGCCGAAGCCTAGCTATCTGATGGATGTGGAAGGACCTTGACACGGATCGGGTCCGGTCCCGCGCCCCATCCCCCCTGTTAGAGTTAACGTGCCCGCAGTGAGGACCTGCACGGACGTGCAGGCGCCCTTCTGCAGCGGCAGTTGAAGGCACCGTCCCCAGTCAGTCAGAGCGGTGGGCTTATCAGTCGCGCAAGGTATGCCACGGCTCCGAATCCACATCTGAAAGCTGGCGTTATCGCCAAAATACCCACGGGGGCGATGAAGACGATTTCCAACAATCCTCTTATTTTTACCTCGGATGAGTCGCCCCCGGCCCATGGTGAAATGCCGGGGGGGGTGGGGAGGGGTAAGTGTCAAAGCGGAGTCGCCCAGGCGGGCACGCCGAGGTCCTCCCACTTCCCCCCCGGCGCTCTATAAAAGGGCGCGGAGCAGCGCAGCCCGTCAGTGGTTACTTCACACACACAAAGAAGGAGTTCTCGCTCCCCAGGAAACTGTGCAACTTCGGATCGCTATTACCAGAGCATTTGGCTCAGTGGATTATCCTCACTGCCAGGTAAGCACCTTTTTCTTAAGAGGAAAAAAAAAAAAAAAAAAAAGAAAAAAAAAAAAAAAAAAAAAGGAGGGAGGTGGAGAGAAGTGAAAATCTCCAGAACTGGGCTGTGTGGAAGTTGGAAGTTGGGCTGCAGAGCCCTGCACTGGCTCTTGGAGACAGCAGCAACCCGCAGCGTGAGATCCACAGCTCGCCGCTCTGCAGGGGGAGATGAGAGCCCAGGGGTGCCTTCCCGGCAGCGCGGCACTTGTCGGAGCTGCGGAACGGTGCGCCCGACGCAGCCCCTGGTCTCGTGTACTCGCTTAATCCCGATGCGAGCCGCTGGGGGTACTCTGGCCGTCCTGCTGGTATTCGGCCGCCACTGCAAGCGCAGCTTTCGGCAAACGTGTGTTTTGGAGGCTAAGTTATTTACTCTGTGCTAAGTTGCTGAGCAAATACTCGCTTTGGGTTCATAGCGCACGCGAAGCTCCCTGCAGCCTGGGGGCTCTCCTAAGGGAGGAAGCGCTATAGAGCTTCCTCTATAGGAAGAGGAATATAGAGGGGGGGGGGGAAGGACAGATGTGACTTCTGGCAGCAAGCATGCTTATCATTCTCTTCTCGTTCCATCAGAATGAAACTGGTTCACGTAGCCCTACTCTATCTCGGCTCTGCGACCTTCTTCGGGGTGGATGCTGCGAGGGTGGACGTAGCCACAGAGTTCAAACGAAAGTGAGTATGGGATCGGAACCCCCCGCCCGCCCCGAGGTTATGAGCCCCGCGCCGGGTCCGGCTGCCTCTAGAAGAAGGGAATTGTGCCCCGCGGGAATGGCACGGATCCTAAAGGCCCCATACTCTTTCGGGAAACCCCTCCCCTAGCCCCCCCCCCCCCTCCCCCTCCCCCGATGTCAAAATCTCTGCGTTGGCAGATTATCGCCCCTCGGATGTATTTGGTTTGGCTGCTGCCAGCAGGCTTGCGCTAACAGGCTGTCCCTTTCATTTGCGCTCCTCGCAGATGGACGAGCTGGGTATTGAGCCGGGCCAAGCGGGACGTGAGGCCTCCGGGCGCGCCCCGAGGGCTGGGAGCGGCCGCCGACGTGCAGGCGCTCGTACGGACCCAGGACGTGAAGGATCCCCGCGTCTCGCAACCCAGGTAACTTCCAGCCCCGCTGCGCTCGGGACGGTGCGAAGCGTCCGGATCCTCTGTGCCGGGGCTCCCTCACGCCGCGCGTCCCCGAGCTCCGCGGACGGGTCCTGCAGGGGCTGCGCAGCTCTGGGAGCCGCCTCCCACCTCCCTTTCCCCGCGCCCCGAGCTGGCGGGAGATAGCAGCGCCTGTACTGCGAAACTCAAATATAAATAGTAACTCGAGCCCTGGCTCCGCAGATAAAATAACAGCCCTCCAGCGGCGGGGCCTCTCCTCCTCGGCAGCGGGCTCAGCTCCGCTCCGGGCCCCTCTCCCGCCGCCCAGCGGAGGGCAGAGTCGGGGCCGCGCCGTCGGGGCCGCCTCTCCTCCGGTCGGGGGCTCCCCGCGCTTCCCGCCCCGCGCCCGCGGACTGCTCTCCTCTCCGGCCTCGCCGTCTCACTCCCCGTCTCTCTTTTCCTCCCTCGCAGCGGCCGGGAGGATGCTCACATCCGCGTCAGGCGCTACCGCCAGAGCGTTAACAGCTACCCCCACCTCCCGACCTTCCGCATGGGGTGCCGCTTCGGGACGTGCACGGTGCAGAAGCTGGCCCATCAGCTCTACCAGCTGACCGACAAAGTGAAAGACGGCGCCGCCCCCGTCAACAAGATCAGCCCGCAGGGCTACGGCCGCCGCCGGCGCTCCCTGCCCGACAGTTTCCTCCGGACCGTGCGGGCGGAGCCCCGCGCCCCCGTCCTCGGCGTGTGAGCGCCCGCCGAGGTTGCCTCGGACGGACAGACTGAGACCGACCCGGGAGCCCCCGCGGCCCGCTCGGCCGGGACCCCTCGGACAGAGGACGGCACAGGAAGCTGTGAAGGCCGCGGCCGCGGAGCCGCCCCCCGCCCCGGGCGAGGAGCCGCCGGAGGCGCCGATCCCCGCGCCGGGCCCGCCGCTGCACCCGGGGCCGGGCCTCCGTCGCCGGCGGAGCCGCCCGGCCTCTCCGTCCTGGGAGAGCCGCTCAGGGGAGCCCCGCGGCCGGCTACGGTGCGCGGTCCGCCCTCGGCGCGGAGAAGTGGCCCTCACCTGCTCTACCCTCTGCGCTCCGCGCAGCCGGCAGGGAATCGGACACTGAGCAGTTCCTGCGGGGACTGCGATATACTTGAACAGAGAGGAAAAGTGCAATCGTACGTGGATTTTGTTAATTATAAGTGCGGTGTGCGTGGATCATGAGATACGTATCGGTATTTAAGGTTGTTCTGTGTCGTGTCCTGTTTGTATCTTTTTTTGGGGAAATATATTTTATTTTTATACGTTTTATATATATATATATATATATATTGCATATGGGCATTTTAAAACATTGTATCCCCTCTATTTTTCATATCGTGAATGTCAAACGTTGTTAAACTCTTTTTCCATACCTTTTTTATCTTGCATTCCAGACTGGTGAAAGATGTAGAGAATGTATCAACTGTTCTCCATGGGTAATATGTGAAATAAAGTAAACACCATTACATAAACCACTTCTGTTGTTTTTAGTGGGGGCAGAGGGTCAGATGGAAGGCTTCTTACTTTCTTCAGCCCTATCCTTACTAACCTAGCACGGCCATTCCGCGACAGCCTAAACCCCTTGGTTAGAGGCTTCGTTAGCCTTATCTCTTTAGAGCAAGCAGATTCACAAGCAGGCGTGCATCTTAAATCCTGGGGCAGGGCTCAGAAGGCACCAAGGCCTTCTCTTACCCACACGTTCCAGGCAGGGCTGAGACGTGTCACGGCTTGGATTGATCGCGCAAGTTTATTTTCTGCCCTAATTAATCAGGGGAACAACTACACGCTTCAACATTGCACAACAAAGTAACAGATTTATTGAGGGAGAGCGTTCCAAAAATGGTCATAGCAGCCTCCAAGGTTATTTATGTTGAAGGATTTCCTGGGCCACAGTTCAGGTTAAAGTTAAATGGTGACCGGTTCAGTGTGGGCAGAACATCTTGGATGAAAGCTTAGCGTTAGGGATTTTGTTGTTTTGTTCTTTTTTTTTTGTTCCCTCCGAATTCCAACCACAGACCAGAAAACAAATGTGAAACTAAAACTGCACCAACAGCACCATCTATTGGTATCCACTCCGTGCTCCAACAAAACAATGTCTACGGAATGAAACAAGTGCATTTGAGTAACAGCTTGGATCAAACGTAGCATTTCCCTCATTTTACACTATCTCTGAAGGTAGTGCACACACAGGAGAGGCAGGGGACAGCAGTACTTAACAGCTAGAAGAAGTTAAGGGGCTGTATTTTTTTCACCTCGTGCTAAATGCCTAAGGAACACATTATTACCAAGAAAAAAAAAAAAAATCAAAAGAATGAGCAGTCACACATTTCCAGGAAAACTGATAAAAAAACAAACAAACAAAAAAAAAAAAACCGGGGTAGGAATTCAGTCAGCTAGATCACTGACATACACACCCAGGATTTTTCCTTCCAAAGTTTAGAAATTCTGCTCAGAATTGCTGATTTTAAAACTACTTTCCTAAACGTTTTCAACTAAGAACCTTGGACTCTTGAGAGGTGTGATTCCTATCTGAAATATTCATTCACTTCTTTCTTTTTTACAAATCATTTTCCCGTGTTTTGTTTTTAAAGGCGCGTGTTGACAGTTGCCAGTTTTAATCACCATCTGTTTGTTAACAGCTGGAAAATAGTTTGCATCTCTGTTGCTGATGGCCTTTCAGATGCAGATGTTGTAAGATGTAGAAACAGGATGAGAAGGAACTGAAAGACAGAGCAGAAATACAGTGACATGTATCATACTTCCAAATATCACCTGTTCGGCTGGCAAGAAATGACAACAAGCGTATGATCTTCATGACTGTAGCTGCCAGTTGAGAAACAGACCAGTGGCTATTCTGAAGGTGCTGAGCATAAGCTAGATGCTGCTGCTTAGCTTCAGAGTGCTCGCAGTGGGAACTTACAAACATGTAAGTGAATGCATGGTCCTACTGAAGGACACAGCGTAACTGGAATGACTCCCACAGGGCCCTCCCAAGTCCTAAAGGAGTGGAATAGCTCCAATCCTTTACTTATTGGTTGAACAGCCAGCATCGAAGTCATCTGAACTCGGGGCATACTGGACAGACTGGATTACAGAGTGACTAAGTATGCACATACCAACTAGATGCCTTTGTAAGGATCTTTTCTCCGTTTACTGCCCCAAACTGGTCTCCACTTAAAAAAACTTTTTATCCTCTCCTTTCCATTTTACTAATAAAAAAACCCGTCTTCACTCAACGCTGAAAGATCCTCGCCGTAAACAGTGTTAAAAGCAGCGAGCTGGTGCCCCACGGCATAATTGAGACCCGAGAGGAGTTTCCTAAGTGCCATCGGAAGGATCAAGAGCACCACCTGCCGTGGTTGTAGGGAGAAGCAAAAAGCTCCATAGCTGCAATAAACAAGAACTAAAGGAAGGACTCCCCATCCCCGCTCCTGCTAATCTTGAAAATAAAAACATCTTTAGAATATCAAGACCAGCACTGCTGAACCAGAAATGCCAGAAAGTAGTGGGTAGCCCTGTCCCTGGTAGTCAGAAGGTTTCTGAATATAAGGAGAAATGGAAAAAGTAAAGTTTGCTGAGAAGTTTACTCTCTGGAAAGCAGCAACTGTGCATTTTAACTAACTTAGAATGGCAGAGCAAGCAGAGACACCTTTGCACACTGCATAGCTGTGCCCATATGCCAAACAGAGCTCCAGGTCTTGGAGAAGTGGTCCATAAAGAATAAACACAGACAGTCTCTTCCTTATCCATTTCAGCACCTGCCCCAGGTGAGATCTGACCGGGTGACAACTCTTCCTCCTGTCCATGAAGGGGACGTTGCTGAAGGACTTTGCTAACACACGTTGCTGTGAACATCCTGGAAAGCAAAATGCTTGGTATGAACATTTACATGGTAGTTGAAATCCATAGATGAACTTGATTAAAATCTCTGAGGAATGTTAGTGTTTTGAACCTCATAGGATCTCAGCAAGAACGATCCCGTGAAACCAAGCAAAATCAAATACCTCCGAAAGCAGTAGTACATGTTAACAAAGCAGATTAGTTAAAGTATCAGGCTCTAAGAACAGCCTGGTGCCTTATAAACCAGTGTTTCAATGGCTGCTTAAAACACAGCTATAAGTTCAGTTCAAACAAAAGGTTCTAAATTAAAAAAATAAAATAAAATTGCAATAGCAAATATGTATTGCAGCAGGAATTCATCCTTGTTCATCAGTCTATCCAAGAGCAAATGCCAAAGGAGTGGTCACCATTCTCAGCAGTCTCCATGGTGAAGTATCAGGAGAGTTCATGAAATATTCTCTTTAAACTGTTATTTTGTTTTGTGCCCACCCCATAGCAAATAAAAAGGATTTTGCTACAGACAATTTTTATTACGAAAATAGATTCCAAAGGCTATTTTATCTCTGGAAGGCTTCTGTGGCACTATTATTTGTGCCATATGGAATGGTGGCAAGGAGCCTAAAATGCTTCTGTGCGGCACTTTCCTACAAAATCCTAGTGCAGGTCCACTAACCAGAAGACAGAGCTCAGTGTCTGTACTTCTCACTCCAATGGGCACCAAAAAATTTATTGCAAGCAACCATGCCACACAGACAGTAAAAGACATTCATTCTTCAAGTACCCCAAAGAGATGTCAGAGAGTTCTGCCAATGTTACCTAGGAATGACTTCTTCCATAGCCAAAAAGTAGAGACACCGGCGTGCTTTCAGATGATTATCAAAATCTGCAAACCTTCTTGGTCCGTGCTAGTAGGAACTGCAGTCAGGTGCCAGATATGAACTTTTACTTCAACTACAATGACAGAAAGGGGAATACTAATGAATACTTTGGCACATAAGAAGCCTTTTCTGGCTCATTCAGTACCCAAAGGACAGCAAGTCATAATTAAAGCCAATAATGGCAACTCCAGACAGCCATCCAAATATTTTCCTTGTGCCGTCAATGCACCATTTTACATTATCTCACATCATACTTTAATAGTGTAGAGCACACAGGCATCAGAAGGAAAAAATCCAACATGACTGAGTACAACCAATAACCAAATCCAATTATGTCTAACTAGAATTTGTTTATTGTGGTCACAAAGGCTTGCTTTTTCTATCCAAATATTTCTTATAGAACACTTATTTTCACCAAATAATTTGTGTCAACTTGAAATTGTTTTAATTTTTAAATACTTAATTCTTTGGAATAGGGCCATCTTTGGAATAGGGCCATCTATCCTTCATGAGGAGAGGGAGCATAATTTGTTCATGAGGTAAAGAACATTGCTGTGTAAAACACTCTTTTCTACACAAGAGTCAAAAATGCTTGACAAGTATAATGTCTCCAAATGAAAAACAAATGGTTCCATTAAAACTAGAATCAATGTCAATGATTTGATAAGACTGGAGTTCTTTGCAACTACAACAGCACAAAGGAGGCCACGTGAAAACTTGTGACTCAGTTTGATTACGTGATAAGTTCTATCAAACGTTTAACCAGAACTCCCCAAGATTTTCATCCACTGACAAAAGCCTGGAAAGACCAGGCCAGCTCAGGTGAAGTGAAATGTTTTGTAATAAATACTGACTCTCAAAATATGTTTGCAAAATAAATATGTCTCCAACATTTTCAGTTCACTGTTGCTTTTAGATGACAGCTTGCAAATTACATATAGCTTTCTGGCAATTATAAAACTGTTAATATTTTTTCATGCTTTCCTAATGTGGTGTAATAACAAACAAACAAATGGGTCTGGGTCTTAATCTCTGATGTCCAGGAGCACTGGCAGAAACAGGATAACAAACAATGAATCTTACCTGTTAGTTCAGGAGCAAACTAAGCAGTTCATCAAACAAACACGATTATTGTCCTTTAATAGGTGGTTACTGTCACAGGACTCACTGTGGAACACAAACACCCAAAGACTAAAAGGCCACTGTGTAATCCATCCAACTGTTGTCAAAGGAAAGGATGAGAGAGTGCCTGGGTTCCGCATTTCCTCACATGACCTGGCTCCTGTGGCTCTCTGCTAGAAAGCAGCAAGCCCTCAGAGGCCACTATGCTTCCCTGTCTGTATATAAGGACTCAGGAACAGATCCGAGTCTGCACACTGGAAGAAGACAGCTGCACCTTGTAAAGTATATTTGTTCTCTTCAGAGCCAAGGAAAAAATGATGGATTTCTACGTGCCTTTTTCTAAGCTGTTTTTTTTTCCCCCTGAGGCTGTGCAGCTCTGCATCCCATTCTACATAAGGAACAAATTCATACTCTGGCCCTTTATTGATAAACAACACAAAAAATATGCAACTGGCATATATCATTAGTCTTCTTACTGCCTATAGAAATCAGACATTGTGCTGGTGATGAACTGGTGAGCCAGATAGGAATCAACACCAAATCCCAGGCCTGAGACAGATTCCATCTAATTGAAACAAAACCTCTACTGACTTCAGCAGGAAAGAAGATTCAGCCCTAGGTTTTCTTTCAAAAACATGACTATTTGCATACTGAAAGATGGTATTGTACACTACCTCTAACTTATTCATAAGTTTATGAAAACTTATGAAACTGCTAAAAATCCACAGTAAGGGACTATCAAAAAGAAGTAACTCTAAATGAGACTCCCTTGCTTACGGCTGAAATGAGCTCAGCAGTGCATGATCATTGCTGCTCCTCTCAAGTGGATATGGTACTGCTGGAAACGATGCCTTCAACAAACATAAATGTATGAAATGCAGTTTTAAATGTGTCCATGAGTAGGCATCAAATCCAAGAAACTTCCAGCATTCTTGTCCAAAATTCAGACTCCTTTGTTTATGTAATGAAGTAGGATTTTGGAGTGTTTTAAAACTGTAACTTTATGTAATAGCATTTCCTTTCTCTCCTTCCTCTTCTCTTTCTCTTTTTTTTTTTTAAACTCGTCACCTATTCTAAAGCCTCAGAAAAGGATGCATGCAGATAATCACCTCAAATGAGAGAGTGAGTTTTGTGCATAGTTTACAGCAGAGGTTGGCAGTCAGAGCTCCTGCATCAGTCGGGGTGCACTCACATTCAGTCTAGTACTTTGCGATCGTACTTGCACAAGATAATTGGTATCTCATTAATGAAGGATATAAAAAAAACTAGCACAAAGAAGTAAGCCCTGCAGAGACAATCTGCTGAACGACTACTGTCCCATTCTGATTCCATTAACTCTTGATAACAGGGGAAAAAATCCCTCGTATTACAAGTACATGAGGGCCATTAAATCTGATTAATTGGGCTAACCACACTGCAAGACAGACAGAAACAAATGATATGTTTTTTTCCATGGAATGTTGTTAGAGTTTGTGTATCAAGATATTTTTCTTCTTCTACTAGTTTGGCGCATCTGTATAACTTTGCTGCCATCTGCTGTCTTCTAAAGCAAAATAAATCACTCTCATTTAAAATTAATGCTGGATGTCAAAGTGGCACAGTGCTGCTGCCAGGAAGGAGGCCTGCATTTGGAAGGATTTTCTGTCTGGCCTGGGCTAGTTACTTGGCATGCTGAGTAAGGCCTAGGCTTAAATTTTTCATTCCTCCTGGGCTTTATTCAGAAAAAGCAAAAACAGCACAATACCTTTACATATTCTGAGGAGATGAGAAAGAAAGCTATTCTGTCCTTTTTGTTATTCTGAACGAGCTCAGGCTTTACACTTTGCATAGTGGGTGCATGAATACTTTCTCTATCCCAACACCACTTCTGCTGTGGGCTGCTAAGAGAACAGTGAACACAGCAGCATTTTTGGAGAAAAGAATGTTTTCAAGATGTGAAACAAAGGGATCAAAGAACACTGGCTTCTCATTTGTTATGGGAATTATCTATCCAGTGATGAACAAAGAAAGCTGAAGTTAGACCCTCACTGCCTACTTACCAGAACTCATGAAATGAGACATATGCACATGCCTTTTGTTCCTAGACAAAGAGGTTTTTTAAAGGCAGGAATTAGAACAGCGTGATGAATCACACTGACCTCCCATTTCTCTAGATAAGATATAAGTAATCCAGCCTCTCAGTAGTAGTCAGGTGTGAGCTCTCAGCTTCTACAATCACAGAACTGAAGTTGTTCCTATAACTGATGCAAACAACAGAAAAGGTTTTGTTTCGTTTTGTTTTTAAATGAAGTTTTACACTGGTTTAAAATCACGATCATATTTACTCTGACATAATCATGCTATATTCACTTATAATACAAGCATTCTTATTTTAATATGTAACTCTCTGCAAAATGTTTTTACTGTAACAGAACCACATACATGTAAACACACCTAACCAGTAAGGCAGACTGATGGGAAAAGACTTGACAAACTTGGACCCACTGTCACATACAGGGCACGTTGTTAGTAAAAATCACACAGTTGACAGATACAGGAGAAGAGGAATCAAAGCTATTGCCTGCCCTCTTCCATTGAAGGCTGTTTATAAGAACACTGGAGGCAGGCATCTGTGTATAGAAGCCCAGCAACACAGAGCAGCTGGGACAACCTTGCTGCAGTTTGGAAACAAAGACTTGTACAAGAACTAGTCTAAACAGTCCCTGTGTTGGACAGACCTCTCTTAGGGAATGTCAGATCTTAGTCAAATTACTATTTTGAAATAGTAACCTTTGTACATATGTATGTTTGTAAAGTCTTCAAAGTAATATTTCAAATTCTGTTCCAGATACAGTTTTGGTTTCCAGTTTGGATTCACTTCTGCTTTCTGGTTTAAAAAACAGCAGTTTGAAGCCACCAGCCACTGAATTAGCCTGGATTTTAACTCTCGCAGCTCTTATATATTCTAAGTGCATATAACAGGAGGGAAAAAAGAAAAAAAAAAAAAAAAAAGCCCAAGATCTATGATGGAGAAAGGGACTAGAAAAGCCTGATCCTTTTAGGAAGAGGATAGGTGCTGCAGGCCAAATCAGAAATGCCAGCTGGGACTTCTGTCTCAGTGTCTAGCAGCAGCCCAAAGTCAGTTGAACATCATCAGGAAGATTGCTAAGAATGTGTGAGTCGGTCTGACACTCAAAACCTACATGCAAAACCTTAGGACACCTCCATCTTGAGTCTGACACGCAGTTCTGATCTCAGTATCTCAAGAAGGACATTGTGGATCTACAGAAAGCAGGGAGAAAAGCAATAGCAATCAAGGGCATGGAACGCTTTTGGAGAAGAGACTAAAAAGATCAGAACTCTTCCTGTTTGGAAGGCTTCCATTGTGTGAGGCCTTGTGGTTTAGACAGCAAGAGAAAGCCTCACAAAATCTCTGGCCGTGAGGTAGAACAACTATTGGTGGGCCAGTAGTTGTAACTACTATGAAAAATAGTTTGGAAGGTCAGAGGAGCAAACAGCCCCTTTTTCTCCAACAATGTTGTCCAGTGAAATAAAGCATATTCAGAGGAACTCTTTTAGTCATGTTCAGCTTTCTCTTAATTGCTGCTTGCTTGGGTAAAGTGTTTTAATGCTTGTCTTTTTGTAATCACTGCAGCAAGAGAGACACCACTCCTGTTGACTTCAGTTAAGAACAGTAGAGGTCTGTGGTGTGTCTTGTGAGTGTAATCAAACTGAGTGTTATTCAGTTAAAAAGAATGTTTCTATAAGAAGCTTATTCTTTGTTTTCATGTATCTTGCATATTTCTGTAGTCACAAGTTTTTTGTTGAATAAGGAGTTTTGCTTTTACCCTCCTTTTTTAACACCAGCCTCTCTATGATGAGGGATGAATAGGGAAAGTGTTGACCTTTCTCTTTATGTTCCAGTTAATAAATACAAATAACATTTTCTTGTATCGGTGCCCGGTT